AAAAACACAAATTCTGGAAAACAGCAGAGTATAAAGCCAGAATAAAGTTATTAAGTGAAACAGTAGGAAATAAGACAATTGACATAGACTGTACTGCACACATTTCAATTACACAAAGATAATGGACATGGATTGGAATTTTTTAGCTATATCCCCATAGAAAAACTACAAGGGAAGTATAAAAATTAAAAGTACAATTGGACAGATAGGTTCATAGTAATGAATGCAACAACACTGAAACATAAGGCAACAAGACTAATAAAATATAATCAAATGAAAGACCCATCTTGTAGACCAGCTGAACCTATTTGGTGGATGTGTGACACATTAATGACAGACAATAATACTCTGGCTTTTGAAATACTAATGAATATGGACAACAAAGACAACTATTACAATACCATACCCAGATAGAGGTAAAGGTTTTAAAAAATAAAATAAACCCAATTATAGTCACAAACTTTATCAACACTGTTAGAAACAAAGATAGTGGCAGGAAAAATGTGTGAAAAGGCTCTAGAAGAAACAGTAAGGTACAAAATAAAAAAGGCAAATAGAGACATCCAATGGTGGATAACAGCAGGGATGGATTTTACAAACATCCCTCGGAGATACAAAATCCAGCATACTAATCTACCATATCACTTTTATATGCTGCTACCCAAATGGAATGAGCCAGATAAAATAATACAATAAATAATACAATATGACTTTATAGCACCCTCATTAATGAGGACCTCAAGGAATGGTAGATACTGGAGGACATAATAACACAAATATAATGGATAGTAACCCCTCAAGATGCATATATACAGAACTCTATAGGAACACAACCGGAGGTGTGGCAATATATCTACTCCATGCCAGAACAATGCAAGATAACATATACATACCCCCTATGGATTTTAATAAATGCAACAACACTATGCCTTGCATTATTGATAGAGGAGGCATAAATGGAATATATAAGCTATACCCAGCACATCACACAACAGGATGGAAGTTAATGCACACACCCCCAGAGAATTAGAAATATCACCAGCACCATATACAATACCAGACATGAATGCACCAGTACAATTGACAACACAACCAATACTGCTAAAGATGTGCGTCACAACTGACGTGGCAATATTCTCAACAGCCTTAAACAAAAGATGTCCTGAAGCTGAATGGCTTACACCTATAACCATATAGAAGGCAAGCCAGATCAGCGAACTCAAGAAGGGAAATAATAGAATGGATAGCAACAGGAGGATTGGCACTAGGAGAAATAGCAAATGTAAAGGCAACAGAGGACCTAGATGTACATAACTAAAATAGAAAATATTAGAGCTAAAGAAATACAAGAGTTGAAAGCCATCTCCAAATCCCTGCAATAAATGAAATTTGACATCATGAACAAATCATCCTCTCACAAATCCTACATAATTTGAAAGACCAATCAGACTTATATGCAGAAAGATAAAAAATTAAAGAGCAAAGATTAGACACATTATTTAGAGAACATGAATGCAATGAAATACAAATGTTAAAACAGCAAGCATTGACTGACATACGACAATTACTTAATACAGGGAAAGGAGAACACACACACACACATACATAAATTCTATTAAACCCAAATGAGGGGCTGGCTGTGGCGCAGTGCTGTGGCACAGCAGGTTAACACCCTGGCCTGAAGCGCTGGCATTCCATATGTGTGCCAGTTTCAGTCTTGGATGCTCCTCTTCCGATCCAGCTCTCTACTATGGCCTGGGAAAGCAGTAGAAAATGGCCCAAGTGCTTGGGCCCCTGCACCCACATGGGAGACCCAGAAGAAGCTCCTGGCTTCAGATCGACGCATCTCCGGCCTGCTGTTACGGCCATCTTGGGAGTGAACAAGCGGATGGAAGACTTCTGTCTCTATCTCTTTGTCTTTCAAATAAATAAAGCTTAAAAAAAAAAAAAAAAAGAAAAATCTTACTGTAATGAAGTACAATGTAAGATCTCTATCATTAAATTAATATATACCCATATGCATATGGCTTACAGATCTAGGCTCTTACACAAAAATAGGGAATAACTTTATACAACCATTAAGAGGAGGAATAATAATAAATGGGACAAGTATACCTATGGAGGCACTAACCCAGTTGCACCCATGACTTACTGTATAACCATGACTTAAATATACATCACACCAAAAGGCCTTCAATTAACAATTACCATTACTATTCTAGGACAACAACCATACAGAGCTCACTGGGATATACAAAATGCTCGACTATATTGTACAACACACCCAATAATCCTACCAAACCATGATTATATGGCAATAACAATAGAAGGAAAACCGTTACTACAGACCATACACACCATGGAATCATGGAATTGATAAAAGAATGGAGAATACATCACAGTAGAACGTAACTCCCACAACCCATATTTTTGGGAACATATACAAAAAGGAAATGGGAAAGTGGTTCAATAGTGGACCACCAGAATAACTCGAATTGCTCCTCATGACGTCCATCGAAGGAGAGACATGGAGAGCCAGGGGTTGGACCATGGGGAATTCCACAGGAGTCCCCAAAGAGTTACAGAGCACTGCTAACCCCCCCACCCCCTAAAAAAAAAGAGAGAAAGCAAAACCAAAATGGAGTTCCTTAAGCTAGGGCACTAAGCACCAGACACTGCCCAGACCATCTGTCAGAACAGACACAGGAGGTGAGGTCTGATAAGGACTGGGGGACATTACATCATAAGCAGCAGCCAACCAGCTGGCTACTGCACTACTGCACCCTCACTACTGCACCACGAGTGGTCACACCCAGACACCATCATCTGGTTGGTGACACCCCAAAGGATGAGCCTGTGATTGGTGACACCCAGGGCACCTACACCGCCCACCTACCCCAGAGAGGGGATGAAAAGGCGAGCCTCACCACTGCTCTCATCCCCTCGGGGACACACACGGCTCAGTGTGAGTGATGGTCGAGTGGCTCCGACTCATCTTGTGAAACTCTGCCCAAGTCTTCGCTGACCAAAACTCTGCTGGCCACTCCGCTGGAGCCAACCTCGCCTAGACGTCCCAGCCGCTGCCAGAGCTGACACCGGAGCTGCACTGGACTTCTCATCAGTGACATCTCCATCCCTTCACTGTCCAGTCTACTGCCCAGAGTGCCAGGCATCCCACGACCCCTGCCCGTAAGTGACTGTTTCAAGAGCCGTCTTGGGAACGGAGACTCTGGACTTTGACTTTGGTGACCGTGGCAGGAACCTTGAGAACGCAGCCTTCATATTACGCCCTTAGCCATGAGTGTTCAGACTGATTATGCTTTTAAGCTTTATACTTACAACTATTGCTAGACATTATTGGAGACTTCCTTACTCCTAGATGTGTGTTATGACCTGTGGACTGATGACATATTGAGTGGTATTGACCTTTAGATGTACGCATTGAATACGTATTGAGTGGCATTGCAAAATAAGTTATATTGAAAAGACTATCACAATTCTGTGATTCTCCCCCGTCCGATTCTCTGACATTCCATTGCATTAGCCTTGTGGAGATGCGTGACAAGTGGCGTTTGTGACACCTGCGAATACCAATGATCCCCGCCCAGGAACGTCCACTGACATTCCACCCCAGGATGAGTCCTCTGACTACCAATGACCCCCAACAGAAAGTCCTCTGTAGCAGGACCCCAACACTCCCAGAACAAGTCCTCTGAAGAGCAAGGACTCTCCCTGCAAGGACAGTCCCCTGACTACCCCTACCACCCAGCAAGAATGACAGCTCTGATAACCAAGGACCCCCCCCCAGGCACCGTCCCCTGACCATCTATGATCTCCCCTCCAGGCATGGTCCCCTGACTACTCCCACCCCCACCTTCCCTCCTGGAAGAGTCCCCTGACTACCTAGGACCCTGCCCAGCAGGAAGAGTCTTCGGAGTACCAAGGCCCTCCCTTCACAGGCAAAATCCTAGGACTACCACAACTCTCCCCAGGAAGCGTCCTTAACAACCAACACCTGCAGAAGTATCCCAGCACCATGACCCCTGTTAAGAGATTACCAGGCTCTCCCCCTGGAAAGAGACCTGACCCCCAACCATCTCCCTGCTGTAAGTGTCCTGTGCCTATCACGACCTCCAGGAAGACTCCTCCCAGGAAGAGTCCTCGGACAGGGCCCAGCCCCCAGCCCCCAGGTGCAGTCCCCTGACTATCAGCAACCCCCTCCAGGAAGTCTTTTAAAAAACGTAAGATTTTATTTTTAATTGTCTGAAAGAGTTTGAGAAAGGCAGAGAGACCAGAACTTCCATCTGTGGGTTCACTCCCCAAACGGCTGGGGCTGGGGCTCGGGCAGGGGCAGGGCCAGGCCGAGGCCAGGAGCTTCTTCCAGGTGTCCCAGAGTGCAGGGGCTCGAGCGGCCACTTCTGCTTTCCCGGGCACATTAACAGGGAGCGGGCCTGGAAGTGGAGCGGCCGCACTTGAACCCGCGCCCATAGGAGATGCCGGCACTGCGGGCGACGGCCTTCCCCGCAGCGCAGGCCCGGAGGAGTCTTACGACTCCCCACGATCCCGTCAGGAAGGCGGCTCTCCCGTCACACCCCCTCCCCAGGAAGAGCCCGCAGACGACCAAGTTCAGCCCCAGGGTCTTGCCGCTTAGGAGAAGCCCTCGAGCGCCCTGCCCGGGCCCCACCACGGCCTCTTCTGGAGTTTTTGGGGATTGCTTCCTGCCTTCATCAGGTCAGCTCAGGAGGGCGGCGGCCGCCCCGTGAGCAAGCGAGGACGAGGGCGGCAGGAAGCCGCGTACGGACCAGCCAGGACTGGGGCCGCGCCGACACCTGCGCCCCCTCGGCCTTCGGGCGCACGGCTGCCCCCATCAGCGGAGCGGCCAGCGCGCTCCACACCTGGCTCGGGGGGGGGGGGGGCGAACCGGGGCGGGACAGCGAGGGGCGCGCGCGCGGGGATCCGGGCGCCGGCGCCGGGGGCTCGCAGAGCCCGCGCGCACGTACCTTGAGGTCGTCGGCCGCGTCCTGCAGCGGCCGCACGCGGTGCGCCCAGTGCTCGCCCGAACGCTCGCAGGCGGCGCACAGCAGGCGCAGCTCGTCGCCGCAGAAGGCGGCCAGCGGCTCGCGGTGCGCGGCGCACACGCCCTGCGGCACGGGCGACGGCGGGTGCAGGCGCCGCGCCATCTCGGCCATCTTGGCGAGCGGGCGGTTGGGCCGCAGGTTGCGCAGCGCCGACAGCTCGCGGCACTCGGGGCAGGCGTACGGGCCCTCGGGCTGGCCCCAGCAGCGCCGGATGCACTCGCGGCAGAAGTTGTGGCCGCAGTCGGTCATCACCGGGTCCGTGAAGTAGTCGAGGCAGATGGCGCAGGTGGCCTCCTCCTGGAGGTTGGCCGACAGGTCCGGGGCGGCCATGGCGCGCTCCCCGTCGAGTGGGCGGCCTGGGGCGCGGGCGCAGAGCTGCGGGCGGCCGGCGGCAGGGAGAGCGCCCGCGCCGGAAGCCGGAAGCCGGAAGCCGGAAGCGGCAGGGGCTGCTGGGTGTTGTGCCCTTTTTTTTTTTTGGAACTACCCGCTTTTGCCTCCGATTGGTCGCGGCCTGTCACGTGGTCCGCGTGCGGGGCGGACCCTGGGCAGAAGGCGCAGGCGCAGCGGCGGAGCCCTGGGCGGTGGGGCTTACGACCCCCGGACGCCGGTGTTGGGGTGATTAAGACGCGGTCCGCACGGCCGGGTCCCCGGGCGCCAGGGTTGGGGGGTCGGCGCCCCTAGACGCTAGCTTTGGGGTGAAATGCGGGCTCGGCCCTCACCGCGCCCCGCCGTATCCGCGTCCGGTGCCGGCCGCCCTGGGCCGCGGACGGGGCCGTGGGGTGCTGGAGACGGAGGAGGGAGACCCCTAGCTGAGGCTGGCGTCTCGGGGGTTTTGCCCCTGGTGTGCGGCTCCGGGAGGCCCGCCGCGGCGCGGGTGGACAGCTCTAAGGCTTCTTATGGGGTCAGGCCTTCCCACTTCCCCCTGTGCGCAGCCAGGGCTGCAGGAGAGGGTGCACGGAATTGAGAGATCACCCCCAAGCCCCAGGAATTCAGGAGCCAGGGCCTCACCTGTGTTTCCAACAGGGGGCCCCAGGCAAGATTGGAAAAAGCCAGGCCACCCTGCCTGGTTGCCGGTTGTGAGTAGGCCTGTTGTGTAGGCGTGTGCAAACATGGGGGTGCTCCATGTTGTGTGGGGCGTGTGCGGCTGTGGGTGCTCTGTGTTGTGTGGGGCGTGTGCGGCTGTGGGTGCTCCGTGTTGTGTGGGGAGTGTGTGACCGTGGGTGCTCCGTGTTGTGTGGGGAGTGTGTGACCGTGGGTGCTCCGTGTTGTGTGTGGAGTGTGTGACCGTGGGTGCTCCGTGTTGGGCAGGGCGTGTGCAGCTGTGGGCTCTCCGTGTTGTGTGGGGCGTGGGTGGCCGTGGGTGCTCCGTGTTGGGCAGGCCGCGTCCAGAGCCGTCACTGGCTAGTGGAATATTGCATCAAAAGCTCTGCCCACACAGTGCCAACGTGACTGCTTTAATCATATTTCAGACACATCTCCACCCCGCATGGCCGATGTCTCTCGGTGCAACCCTGGGCAGGTGGCCGCACCACCCAAGGGCCTTGCCCTCTGCAGGGAGCAGGCGGACGCAGAGTCTGTGCCCCCAGCCGGCGTCTTCCTTCAGCCCTTCACCCACACGGTCACCGTGGAGATGACCATCTGGCCGGATTTGGGGGCCCCCAGGCAGAAGAAGGGCTGCAGGGGCCCTGGGAAGGTGGCCTGGGAGTAGGTGTGCAGGTGGGACCCGTCGCTCACGCTGTAGAAGGAGACCTCCCCCGCCTCAAAGTCCAGGAAGACGCCCATGTGGCTGGGGGGCTCGGTCAGCGTGACGGGGCCGGGGCCGGGTGCCGTGGACAAGTGCTTTTTGCCCTTGGCCAGCTGCACCACCCAGAAGCCGTTCTCGGGGCACTTGGGGACCCTGTCCTTGCGGCTCACGCTGGCGCTGCACACGCCCAGGGCCCAGAGCGCGTCCCCCGTGAGGTTCATGCCCACCTCCCAGTAGTGCCGCCCCGAGGAGAAGCTCTGCTGGCCCACGGCACACGGGTAGGCCACGAACCTGTCCTTGCTGCAGAGCGCGCTGCCCTCTGGTGGGCAGCTCAGGTAGCGCCTCTGGCGGCTCTCGTAGAGGAGGAGGTAGGGGTAGGCGGATGCCGGGTCTGGCACCACGTCCTCTTGCAGAGGGGCGGTGAGGGAGGAGGGTCAGGAGGGCAGGCCTGAGGCGGCTCCCAGCCCCGCGGCCCCCTGCACTGAGTCAGCTGTCCCCACTCCCCAGCTGCGTGTGGATGGTGTAGGAAGGGGAGGGGCACTTGGGCAGCCACTGGCAACGTCTGTGAGGCACACGCTGGCGTCCATGCAGGCCCACCCCCCCCACCCCCCGCACCGGGAGCTCTGGCCCCAGTGTGGTGCTGCGGGGCTGAGCAGGGAGAGTGCTGCCCAGAGAATCTCGGGTCAGGAGTCTGGACCCTGGGCCCCCACTTACCTTGGAAACCTCTGAGCACCTCTACCTGCCCAGGCACCCTGCACACGGTCCTGAGCACCATGGGGGGCGTGGCCTCCGGGCACAGCACTTGCAGGCTGTCCTTACTCCAGGGAGGACAGCTTCACTGTCCCCTCTGGCCTGCACGGAGCCCTCCCTTGCCCACCTCCACCCTGCCGTGTGGAATACATACCTGGCCAGGGTGTCCTTCATGTCCTGCAAAAGACAAGGGTGGGAGGGGGAGGCAGGGAGTGGGCCAAGCCCTCAGCTGCCCCCAGCCCTCGCTGACCCTCCCCAAGCCACGTTCTCTGCGTCCACGCCTTTGGTCCAGACTGGCCCTTGCCGGGCATTCCTGGGAATGCACCTGGCTGCACTGCCACCGGGTGCTCAGCCTGACCCACGCCGTCCTCCCAGTCATGGTGGGGGGCTAGGTCCTGCTGATGGGCCCAGGGGCGCCCACCTGGCGCCTTTACGCCTTCCAGGCCAGTAAACAGTGCATACAAGCACCCCTCATCCCAGACCCCGGAGGAGGCCTGAGAGCTGGGGCAGTCGGGAGCCCATGAGCGCTCCTTTATAAAAGCAGACCACAGCCACTGTGACGCCCAAGCAGAGCAAGTAGGACAGAGCCGAGAGCCCCTGCCCACAGCGCTTGCTCTGTGGGGCCCGTTAACGTTCAGCTGGGGCTGCCTGTACATAGCACTGCAGCTCCTCAGCCAACCAGGCATCCAGGGGGCTACTGCTGTGCAGGCAGTGAGCACGGCGTGGGTGGTTCGAGTCCAGGGCTGGACTGATGCTGGCCAGTGCCAGCTCTCACTGCCATGCTCAGAGCACTGTGCGAGGTAAAACTCAAGAGTTGCTTGTTTCTGGGATTTTCAGTATTCTCAGACCGTAGCTGACCTGGAGTCAATGAAGAGAAGTGAGGGCAAGGGCTGCGTGTGCTCACCCACTTAGGCGGGTGTGGGCCGGTCCAGGAGGGACGGCTGTGGTGTGGACACAAGGGCGGCTCCTAGAGCCTCTGGGGAGCCACAGAGCTGCCAGCACCTGACGTTCCCACGTGGGAAGCAGCCAGGGGCCGGGGCAGTGGAAGATGACCCAAGACTTGGGCCCCTGTACCCACGTGGGAGAGCTGGAAGAAGCTCCTGGCTCCTGGCTTTGACCTGGCCCTAACCCAGCTGTTGTGGCCATCTGGGGAGTGACCCAGCAGGTGGAAGATTCTGTCTGCCTTTCAAAATCGATCTTTTAAAAAAGAACTGTGGAGGTCACTGAGGTAAAGCACAGGTGAGAAGAGGGGCGTCCCAAGGAACTGCCTCTTGGGCCCCACCTGCCCCACCTGTGCGCCTGCATGTGAGTGTGCAGGGTGTGTGTGCATGTGCCTACATGCGAGTGTGTGGGGTGTGTGTGCAAGTGATACACCGTGTGTGGTGGGTGTGTATGCATGTGCCTACATGAGAATGTGCGGGGTGTGTGTGCATGTGCCTACACGAGAGTGCGGGGTGTGTGTGCAAGTGATGCACCATGTGCAGGGTGTGTGTGTGCATGTGCCTACATGAGAATGTGCGGGGTGTGTGTGCATGTGCCTACATGAGAGTGTGCAGGGTGTGTGTGCAAATGATGTACCGTGTGTGGTGGGTGTGTATGCATGTGCCTACATGAGAATGTGCGGGGTGTGTGTGCATGTGCCTACATGAGAATGTGCGGGGTGTGTGTGCAAGTGATGCACCATGTGCAGGGTGTGTGTGTGCATGTGCCTACATGAGAGTGTGCAGGGTGTGTGTGTGCATGTGCCTACATGAGAATGTGCAGGGTGTGTGTGCATGTGCCTACATGAGAATGTGCGGGGTGTGTGTGCATGTGCCTACATGAGAGTGTGCAGGGTGTGTGTGCAAATGATGCACCGTGTGTGGTGGGTGTGTATGCATGTGCCTACATGAGAATGTGTGGGGTGTGTGTGCATGTGCCTACATGAGAGTGCGGGGTGTGTGTGCAAGTGATGCACCATGTGCAGGGTGTGTGTGTGCATGTGCCTACATGAGAATGTGCGGGGTGTGTGTGCATGTGCCTACATGAGAATGTGTGGGGTGTGTGTGCATGTGCCTACATGAGAGTGTGCAGGGTGTGTGTGCAAATGATGCACCGTGTATGGTGGGTGTGTATGCATGTGCCTACATGAGAGTGTGCGGGGTGTGTGTGCATGTGCCAACATGAGATTGTGCAGGGTGTGTATGCATGTGCCTACATGAGAGTGTGCGGGGTGTGTGTGCATGTGCCTACATGAGAATGTGCAGGGTGTGTGTGCATGTGCCTACATGAGAGTGTGCAGGGTGTGTGTGCATGTGCCTACATGAGAATGTGCGGGGTGTGTGTGCATGTGCCTACATGAGAGTGTGCAGGGTGTGTGTGCAAATGATGCACTGTGTGTGGTGGGTGTGTATGCATGTGCCTACATGAGAATGTGTGGGGTGTGTGTGCATGTGCCTACATGAGAGTGCGGGGTGTGTGTGCAAGTGATGCACCATGTGCAGGGTGTGTGTGTGCATGTGCCTACATGAGAATGTGTGGGGTGTGTGTGCATGTGCCTACATGAGAGTGCGGGGTGTGTGTGCAAGTGATGCACCATGTGCAGGGTGTGTGTGTGCATGTGCCTACATGAGAGTGTGCAGGGTGTGTGTGTGCATGTGCCTACATGAGAATGTGCAGGGTGTGTGTGCATGTGCCTACATGAGAATGTGCAGGGTGTGTGTGCATGTGCCTACATGAGAGTGTGCAGGGTGTGTGTGTGCATGTGCCTACATGAGAATGTGCAGGGTGTGTGTGCATGTGCCTACATGAGAATGTGCAGGGTGTGTGTGCATGTGCCTACATGAGAATGTGTGGGGTGTGTGTGCATGTGCCTACATGAGAATGTGCGGGGTGTGTGTGCATGTGCCTACATGAGAATGTGCAGGGTGTGTGTGCAAATGATGCACCGTGTATGGTGGGTGT